CCGTTAACTACATTCAAACGCCCACTGACCTTGAATAGGAAAAACCTCCAACAGATAGATCATGTCTTCTGGCGCTGCGATCTGCTTAACCAGGGATCATACTGCCTTAAGAAGCGTTTCCTAGCTGCTATAATAATTTCACGCATCTCCGACGATATATATAGCCAACTTCAGCGTCATAAGAATCAGCTGATTGACCACATAGGGACTACAGATTTTCGAAAATTGCTGCAAGAAAGTTACGTTCTACGTCCAAGAGTAAATTACCGAGGGGCTTCAAACTTTTTAGACAGCTTTAACATTCTAATATTTTAACCGTCATCTCACGAAGCAGCCACACAGCTTAAGATATTCTTTCTTCCATTTCACCATGCGCTTTAACCCGAGAAAAAAAATGTTTTTTCTCTAGGTCAAATGCCCTGTGATTTCAGCCACTCACCTCTTACGAATACGTGTGAAACATCCGCAAAGATTCATGAAAATGTTGTCTGCTTCAAATGCCTTTTCAATTTAGCATTCGTATCTACTAGTTTCCAACACTTAAAGAGAACCACCTGATGATGGCAAATTAAGGTCGAAACATGCAATGGCTCTTAATAGACATCGAGCACAATATCACACGCTGTTGTGTTGACGGGCCTTCAACACAAACATCAACGTGCAGAAGGTTGCCTCCCTTGATCTCGAAGCAACTAATTGTCATAATTTTCTTTCGATGCCACGTAATTTTGACGATTAATTAAAGTTATCGAATCAAAAAGAATGTGCATCTGGCACGGAAGAGACGAGAAATAAGTCACAATTTTCAATGTAACTCAAAACGCAACATTTACATAAGTATTTACCTTTCGGTTGAAACACATTTCAATACATTTCTCTAAGATCGATTTAAATTTGATTTCGCTTCTCTCCACAATCTGTGCATTTATTGAGAGCGTTGATACATAAACAAAAAAAAATATATATACATTTCCCTGTGTGTACCATAGTCTATTTCGGTGAGTTCCTACCCAAAATAACGTGAATTTCTTGTTTCCTCTGCAATGGAACATGGCATCCCTTCCTTAAATATTCCAACGTCCACATTGAACTGTTCAACAGGTATCAAAGCACCCGTACGTGACGGAAAATGAGGAATGCAGACCCGTGATCTCGGAGACGCTCACATACCTGGACGACGTGAAAAGCTTGACGAAGGAAGACAAGGACCTCGTGACACCAAGGATTGCCCGTACGCAAATCAGACAAGACATTCTGTTTGCTATTGGTGGTTATATCCACGGAGTCCCGACAGAATTAATTGAAGCGTACGACGCACGAGCAGACCGGTGGAGTGTGGTGAGTTGTACGCATTTCTACTATTACCGTGCCTTGTTAAATGACGCCTCCGACAAAAGCTAGATTTCCTCCTTTTTGCTTATTTTTACTAAGTAATTGTTTATTTAAACTTAATCACAAGGACCTCTTAGCCTCTTTATTTCGTTTTCGCTAATTTCCATTGCAGTGAAACTTTTTTTAGGAGTAACTCCAAAGACATGAATTAAAAGAATAAATAAATGAATTACTCAAATGCCGAGTCTCGTGTAAAATGTAAGTTCTAATGGGAATCGACGAAGGATGTGAAGTTTTCCTTAAATACCGTTTACAATAAGCGTCCTACTTCACCTGTCATGGCGACCTGTCTGCTGATTTTAGAAATCGTTGATCGTCTTTGGATCTCAACGTAATAAATGAAGCACTGATCAGTGTCGATGTTGGCCATCTGCGTGGTAACGCCTCGTGAATCAGAAGGCTGACAAACTGTTTGGGGTGGGTTGGGGGACGAACTGATTCCAGATTTGCGTCGATAAAACCCAAAACACCAACATCTGTCTTTACCATTGTAGGAATCTGAAATGTCAGCTGTTGATCAGAAATTAATTCTACATTTGTCTGTCGTACTAGACGAAAGCACTGGTAATGTTTGAGCTTCCTCCGTCTCTCGTAATTCCTCCATTGCTCCAAGTTCGTTTCTCACTGTCTTTGTCGAGTGCTGTAGGCCCGGCCACCCATCACGGTGTAGCAATTTCGGTCCACTGTTG